AACTTTGTGCGCACTTAAAAAAAAAAAAAAAAAAAAAAAAAAAAAAAAAAAAAAAAAAAATACACCACATGTAGGTGCAAAAAAAATGACCCGATCCAATTGAATCATTGCGCATGCGTTTTTAAAAGTTGAGTGAGGGTGCGCCACCGTGTATTGGTAAAAAGGAGCACTGTAATCTGTGTGGTGATGGTTGTGTGTGGAATGGATAAGGGATGTACTTCCTCACTCTCCACTCCCCCCTCCCCCTCCCACTATTCAACTTGGTCATTGCATGCGCAAATGGAATAAAAATCGCCTTATGATTTCTGAGCCTCTTCCTTTTGCTTTCTCAATCTAATGATCGTGGACTTGGCTGCGACTGCTGCGGGGGTGGTTAAACTCCAGGCTCCTCCACACACCTTTCTTTTACATTTCTTGCACTGCCATATTCCTACACAGGTTCTTTTTGTTGCCGTCTGAAATGGATGGGAAAGAAAAAAGTGACGCATTTAATATCAGTTGGAAACGGCACAGGGTAGCAAGACATGCGTCCGCAACGGAGGGAGACTTGTGTCCACCCTGTTCTTGTTCCATATCTCTACTTGACACGCCATGCGTGAAAAAAACTGTCAGAAGAGAGAAGCTGTGCTCTACTTACCTTTCCACAGAAGCTGCACATATACTTGGCATGTTGCATAAGCTCGATTTTCTTAATTTGCTTACGGAGGGAAGATCCGTACCTCGTTCCGTACTTCCCGGTCAAGCCGACCTAGATGAGGGGAAAAAAGCGCGGGGAAACAGGCGCGGGGAAATATGGGCAGGGAAATATATGCGGGGAAACACGCGTGAGGCGCGGGTGAAAACATACGATGGGTACACGTTCAACGGGGAGGCGATTGCTCCAGTGCAAGTGAAGAGGCAGCCCACAACTCAAATGGGTGGGGGTAAAGTAGCAGCAGCAGGGGGAGAATCGTCGAGGAGATATATCTTCCCCCCTCCCACTTGCCTACCACACGTAATGAACAGAGAAGTGGGCATACTTCTTCTAATGTTGATGGCCCCCTCTCCTTTTTTTTTTTTTTTCTTTTTTTACTTTTGTATGTTTTCTCCTTTTCTTACCTTTTTAGTTCTTCGCGACATTTTTTTATGGAAATAAAAATGGGGAGTTAAAAAAATGGGAAAATATTATTCTTCGCTT